AATCATATAAATAATTTATACTCGGATTATTACTACATCACAATGTTAAAAAATCACCTTCTAAAAAATAAGGAGTTAGACAAATTGCTAATTAGACTGTCGATATTAATAAATCATTACAAACTTAATTTGTTTGTATATAAATTTCTTAAAATTCAACAAGAATATGGTCATAATATTATAATTATTTATAAATTAATTTAAATGTTAACTGGCCAAAAACGGTCCTTCTACCCTTTCTAAGCGCTTAAATTCGCACTTAAGACGTTTTTGAGCTCAAAAATGTAATTTATATGTTATTTTGAGCTCTCCAAGCTCAAAGAGTAAGCTATTCTATGCCTTTGAGTTCCTCTAGCTCAAAGGTCTAATAGAAGTTTAATAAAACACTGTTTTTTTAATTGAAAATAACTGATTTATAATCTATACTATTAATAGATTTCCATGTTAATTTATCAATGATTAATAAATTTTTATATTAGTGTACTTAATAAAAAATACTGAAATTGATTTTTTTTTGTATAAAATACTAGTACAACAAAATTAATTTCAAATTACTAGAAACTGAAAAAAAAAATATTATTCTTCATATCTGAACTTTGAAATGATTTAAAACCCCAAATCGGCTTTAGAAAATAAAAAAAAAAAACAGCCGATTTGAACAAGTTAAAAATAATAATTGAATTTGAGTAATAAAACAGGAATTATAAAATTTTCGATATCGTAAATTCAATAAAATAAACAGACACAAAGGGAGTAGAATAAAATTTGAAACACGCGGGCGTACAAAAGTTCATTGAACAATGAGAAATTTTTTATCGACGACAAAAAGGTAAATGAATAGCAACACCTACACGCTTCATACTATATATATACACTATATATTCTTATCATTCATGCGGAGCTCGACAATCAGTACAGCGACGCCCTACATATACGATCCACTGTATAATATCGCTTGCATTTATTTCGGTGGCGTCACTCCATCCCCAAAGGCAAAAAAATGAGGCGTTGTTTTATAAATCACAATATTTAGTATTTTAAATATGAAATACTGCACGAAGAAAAGTATTATTAAATGTTTACGGGGCTGCCGAGAGAGTGATTTATTGTTGCAATACATACCGACTAGGATAATATTTATTTATCTCGATCTTGAGTTTACAGCTCTCGAGGCAGCTCTTGCGTATTTATATATCAGTTGAAGTTATGAGAAAAAATAAATCACGGGCTTATATTCTACCTCTGAAGATTGAAGGGTGAAAGCTGTCAAAAGGTTCTATAACCGTTAATCTGCAGACGGGCAACTCTTTCCCGCCTCCGTGTTTACATACACAGTTCACACTCGAGTCTACGCATTTCCGATCGGATATTAATGTCTAGACGTCTGACCAAATACCCGCTGTCACTACTCTCAAACTTTAAATCATTCAGAAAACTTTTATTTACATTCGACGTTTCATCTGTGCACTATCGATCCTCAAAGTTTAATCCGTTGTTGGAAATTTTTGACTTTAGATGCTTTCAATAAAAAAATAAATTTATAGTTTGATTTTTTATTTTAATTTAGGATAAAAAATTTTTAGTAATATATATTGATTTTTTTTTACTTTACTGAAAAAATTATAAAATTTGGATTTTAATTAATTAATTTTAAGTAGCAACCTTGCAGTCACTATATAACTGCCGTTACTTGTGAACTATAAATAAATAAAATTTTGCTTTATTAAATAATGACTTTTCTTAAATTGCATTGTACTTTGTTAACTATTGATATTTTTAAATATATAAGCTCATCTCGATGTTATACTCATCAAGAGCTTTCATTTGAGTACCCACATGCATTTTTATATATTTTTCATATATACATATATGTAATATATATAAATATATGAAAAATTGATGTGGGTACTCAAATGAAAGGTCTCAATGAGAGTAACATCAGAATGAGCTTATATCTTCAAAAATATCATTAGTTGACAAGATAGCAAAGTCAGTTCTTAATTATTGACATTTTTTAAGGTATAAGCTCATCCTGATGTTACACTCATCAAGAGCTTTCATTTGAGTACCCACATGCATTTTGATATATATTATATATATACATATATATATATAATATATATAAATATATGAAAAATTGATGTGGGTACTCAAATGAAAGGTCTCGATGAGTGTAATGTCGGGATGAGCTTATATCTTTAAAAATGTCAATAGTTTACAAGATACAAGGTCATTTCTTAATTATATATCTTGAGACAGAGAATTTTCTAATGCAACGTAAATACTTATCATCACAAATTAACTATCGGTAAGAATGATATGATACCTCGACTTTAAAATTATTATTATTATTTTTTCGGAATATTTATTTTAAAAAATTTTCTTTATCATAATTAAATTTTTAAAAAAATTATTAGATGTCTGCTTATTTTAGAATTATATTTAACATTTAATATTGAGACACAAAACCATAAAATTCTGTAGAATTTAGAGTTTAGCGACTTGCAATTAGAAATTTAGATGAATTAAAAAAAATTAAAAAGAACAAACATAAAAACTCGTGTTTTATTGTTTGGGGCACGAGAACTAAACCCGAAATTGGTATTGGATAACCGAGTCATCTAATGCACAGCATTGTCTATTCCATTCAGATGGATCTACTTTTTATGTAAACGATCCACCACGTGCAGGTACCGGCGACAATGGGAGCGTCGAGGAAGAGAAAACCCACCACGGCTCGGCGACTTTGCCGGGTGGTTGTAGTTTAGGTTCAACCCACAGCGCAGCGCCGGTCAAATTTCCCTCGGAAGAGGGCTCGGAGTGCTCGAGCGTCACCAGCGAAAGCGGTCCCGGGAGCAGAGGTCAAGCGCACGCTTGCCACAGTAATAATGCCGCTTTCAGCTTGAAGTCCATCTTCGTTGAGCTGCAGGAGCACCGGGAGAACTTCGAGCGTATGCGGGAGAAATTGGAAACGCTCAAGGTGAGTTAATTAATCAACTAATTAATTAAAAAAAAAATAATTGCTAATTTTTTCTCCAGACACTTCAACAAGAAGTAACATTTTTATCAAACGCACTGCAAGAAGAGCGCTTTCGGTGCGAGAGACTCGAGGAGCAAATGAACGACTTGACCGAGTTGCATCAAAATGAAGTTGAAAATTTGAAGCAGACGATAACAGACATGGAAGAGAAGGTCCAGTACCAAAGTGAAGACCGCTTAAGGGACATTCACGAGATGCTGGAGAACTGTCAGACCAAAATATGGAAAATGGAGCACCAACAGCAGCAGCACCAGCAATACGTAACGCTGGAGGGCCTGGACAATAGTAACGCGCGAGCGTTGGTTGTTAAATTAATCAACGTTGTGCTAACTGTTTTACAAGTCATTTTGTTGCTTGTAGCCACGGGCGCGGGTATAATGATGCCCTTTTTGAGAACGAGGTACTTGAGTAGCCATTATCGACTTTATTAACTTTATTAACTAACTCTAATCTTTATAAGTAGCCGCTTTAATCTCCAGCCTCTGAGTAGAAATTTTTTTCTAAAATAAAATTAGTATTTGATAATTATTTACAAGTGCGGTTCATTTTTGGTCATATCAAAGTGAAAAATTAACATTTGCAAAATTTTTTTTTATTCTGCTTATTTTTATGGCGCATTTATAATCAAAAAGGTCGTGAAAAAAAAATAAATGAAAATTTTGATGGCTTTTTTGCCTTCAAAAGTTGGAAAAAATTTTAGCTCTCGTGTTTTTGGATAAAATTTCTATTTTATTTTTTTTGGAAAAGTTCATAAAAAAAAAAAAGTTAAATATCACAATTTTCTAAAAATTTTTTTGAAAATTTGTTAAAATTGTGATAATCATTTTTTTTTTTTTTTATTTAAATTGTTCATTTTTTTTACATATTTTTCCAAAAAAAAATATCTCAATAAAATCAAATATAAATTTTGTTAAAAAAAATGAAAATTAAAATGATTGACCCCACTTGTAAATATTTACCTAATTTTTTTCTGTCTTGTAAATAGTTTACTGTGATAATTATAATTAATAATCAATAATTAATGCACACACTATGTTGTAAAACTATATTATTTTTTGTTTTATCACATCATCGATCATCAGGGTAAACTGGAGAAAAAATGATAATGCACTTGGGGTTTCACATGCTCATCATTTTTGTTTTTTGTTTCACACGTTTGTTTCAGCTGTACTAAGCCTCATTGTTTCATGTGCAGGGTGCGCATATTGACGACAACTTTGGTCGTCCTGGGCATTATCTTTGTCCTCAAGCAGTGGCCCGAGGTCCACGATGTTGGGAGCCATTTGATGAGACACCTCAAGCAAACGCTTGCCGTTAAGTAGCATTGTAAGATTCTTTTTATTTTTTTATTATTTATTTATAAACTTTTTATTGATTATTGGACCTTGCATACTTTCTAAGTTTTGTTACAGTAATTGAATTTCCAAGTAAACTTCCTATGCATGCAACGAATCAATATTACATTTAAAATTCTATTTTATTTTTTTTTTTATTTTTTAGGGTTTGGGTAAGTAGCCGCAGAATAATTACCTGGCTACAAACAAACCATCCATGAAACATCAACTTTTAAAAAATAATTTAAATTGAACCGGATTGAAAGACAAAAATAAATTTGAAGTCGCTTAATATTTGTTAGTAGGTAAATATAAACAGTTAAGATTTTATTTATATATACATAAATATTATTATTATTATTATTATTATTATTATTATTATAATTATTAATATTAATATTATTATAAATGTATTGGATGTAGATGAATTATTGTAACATATTGTTTAGTCAGTAAGGTATGTGATAATTAAGATGAATTTTAAAAAAATATCGAGAGACAACGGGAGAGTAACGGTAATACGTAGCAGTCAAATTTTTTAATAATAAATAGTAATTATAATAATTATTATTATTGTTTATTAATAAATAAAATTTAGTAATTTAGTGACATAAAATAGAATTTTTCATGGGTTTAATTATGAGTGTAAATACAACAGGTCTTACAATTTTTTAATATTAAAAATTGTCTGTTATATTTATGCTTAAATTTAACATAAATAATGATAACAATAATTGAAGATTACATGACATAGTCGAAGTGAGACTAAGGCTGAATTTAACTGATTGAATCAGCTATTTTCTTTTATTTATAGCTTTACAGCTTCGATATTAATTAAGATTGATGAAAAAATTGATAATAATAGTAATACCTCAAAAAAAAAAAAATTTTTAGTCAAATTTTTCGTACTGCTAAATTAAATGTTTGATATTTTGATACTGACAAATAATTAAATTTTTTTTTAAAGCTATTGTTAAGTAATGCACAAATTCAGTATTAAGAGTACACAGCGATAATTGTAAATTAATTTTGTTACTAACGTATCTATTATTATTATTTAATTATTGAGATATTTTAGAACAATTAAATAGTAACTACGCTTAATTATTTTTACATCTAAAATCCATAATTTTAATTAATAATAATTATGTTTAAAAAAGAAAAATCAATAGT